AATGGCTGCCACACAGTTACTCAGCTAGCTACTAATCAGATAATACACACAGATACACAAACACATAAAAGCATTTTCTGCATAAGCGTCGGTCAAGCGGATGAAACGGAATAAGCCACAAACACAGGGTCACAGGGTCACAGGCCTGAAGGCAGGGACCAGGCACAGTGCGGCATTACGCTGATCGGAGGACACGAAAGATAAACGATGGATATCATGCAGGTCAACGGTTTACATTTTGTGAGTGACACCACATCACACACCACAACCGAGAAACGTCAGCGTTAACAGGACATGAGTGAGCAGGAGAAGAACTCAGGTGAGTAACTGCCTTGTGAGTTCTTTAGGATTTCATCGTTGAAGTGTGACTTGTGACCAGCAGAGGGAAGCACAGAGTGTTCTTTGAGAGAGTTTGCAGTCTGTGCAGAGTCTTTTGGAAAACAGTGCCAAACACTTCAGAGGATGGAGGGACTCGGCTGCTACAACAAGCTAATTAACATGACTGCTCCAGTGTGTGTGTGTGTGTGTGTGTGTGTGTAGCTGCAATTTCAAGTGTTCCTGGAACTAATCAATTAAAGCTGGAAACCGTGGAACAACGGGGTGAAGAGGAGTGAGGGACACAGGTGGCGGCTTCCTTCCCATGATGCTCTCTGTTTGGCCTAGTGTACTTTTGGCACTGGGGCTGTCCGTCCAGGGCAAACAATGTGGGAGGTCAGACTTTTAAATATAACCGCAGATCCTGTTGTCCTCTTTAACAGGTCAAGGTTCATTTGGGCCGTGCAGGCTTTGAAAGACCAGAGGAGCTGACCGTCTGCTGTTCTATCAAGTAATCTGGGCTTAAAAATATATATGAGATGATATCACAAAGAAAATGTATTGAATCACATGAATGAACCTCTGCAGCCCATCTTTTTGCCAATCATTAACATGCTGTACAGTATGTCCTCTTGCTGTGACATGCAGTTCTAGCACCCCCCTTTGGACTTTTTTAAATACGTCTGTGTTTGCATGCAGAGTGAGATGCACACCATTGTGTCAAAGATCTTGTGTCCAGAAGAGGGTTGAAGGATAATCAACAACCTAAAGTGTTTACTCCCTTTTGTCATGTTTACATAGAAAGAGAAGTCAACAGAATTTACTCCAAAATACCACTGTTGGTTTGTAAAGCACAGAGTGATTTAGGGGCAAAAGACATCTCTGATCTATAACAAAATGCCCAGAACTCTCAGGTCGCCTGTTTCAGGTCTGCTTTTTGTCCCCAGAGTGAAAACTAAACACACAGAAGCAGCGTTCATATTTTCATGCACCACATCATCTGGAACAAACTCCATGAAATCTTGAGGTCTGATCTTTCAAAAGAAGGCTGAAGACTTTACTGTTTGCCGCTGCTTTTTATGAATAAAATATGGGACTATTTATTCATATCTCAAATTGCTCTGTGATTTCATTCTCTATTTTTATGTTTTGGTCTATTTTAGCTTATTTGTATCTTCTTCCCTTTTAAATCCTATGTGTCCGTGACGTGTCTTTTTTACGTCGCCATGTGGTTTCTTTTATTAAATACCTCCCAGTCATATGTAAAGAACTTTGAATTGCCTTGTTGTTGTTGAAAGTTGCAATACAAAAAAACAACCTTGCCCTGCCTTGCCAAGAAGACCGGAGTGTGGAAATGAACTGATCAACCCTTTGACAGGCGACTTTTCGCTGTATGTACCCAGAGGCAAAGTACATGAGCCCATTATATCACGGAGACAAACAGACGGCTCTGTCTGCACAGGCCGGGGTCAGTCTGGTCAGCCCGTCTGTCTCGTCTGTCACGCTAGAGAACGAGCGCTCACCCATGGCTGCTCATGCTGCACCTTCCACTATCGGTGCTTGTGGGGTAAACAGCCGCTGCCCGATCTCCGGCAGAGGCCGCAGAGCGTCTGCGGTCTACCTCTGAGGCCTCGGCCACAGCCGGCAGCATTGATCGGGCTCCTGGTCTCTAATCAGGTCAACGCTGACTCACAGGGGGCTAAGGTCAGCTATGGACGTACACGCATACACACTTAGGAAACCTCGCTGCAGTCGTGTTAATATCAATCCATAAAACCCTCGGAGCTCTGGTCTCATGTGTTTTACTGCCTTGCGGCCTTTTGTCCGGCTCTGTTGTCAGGGCAGAGGTATGTATGGAACGACGGGGCTACCCCTAAACCCTCCTGAAGCCAATGAATGAGAGGATGGACGGAGGCGAGGGGAGGAGAGCAAAGGAAACACACTCATCATCGCATTAAAGGAGAGCAGGACAGAGGGGTCGAGGAAGAGAGGCGATGGAGGGAGAGAGAAAGGGTGGGTGGGGTGGGGTGGTGGGGTGCAGTAATGGGGTCTTTGTTCTGGTTGGTGTGACTCACAAAGCCTCGGCCAGGGCAGCACAGCCTGGTTACCGTTACCAAACAGAGAATAAGGAGGGAGGAGTGTGTTTGTGTGTGTCAGAACTGGGGGATGTTTCTGCGACCCAATCAAACCTTACATGTCTTCTTGGTTCATCCATTCGGGACATTTCAACACAGCTCACTCTCCTCCGCCTTCGCTTCTATTAGATTTGTGTTCTCGGCCCCGCGTTGGCTTTGACCATCAGCACATCACAGGCGACCTGCTATCACGCTATCGTTGCACGATCAGCTTGTCAGACCAGGTCACGTGGGAGTTACACAACATATAACTTTAAGAGTAACTGACAGGTGACGTCATTCTTCGCGGAATATGGCCTTTGATTACACAGGAGGTTTTTTGGCTGAAGTCATCTAAAGAGCCCTAAAAAAAAACTAAACTAAAACACAGTACTGTTTAGGACAAAAACAGCAGTCACTCAAAGGAATATATGTTTGGGAATCACATGGTTGGTGGGGGGGGCTGACCCAAAGTGGTAGTAATGTGAAGAAAATACAAAAAAGTAGACCCATCAATTTTTAAAGGTGTGCTTGTTACAGGGTTGAACGCAGGGCACAGGCTTCAGGGGTGGAATGTTAAAGGGAGGGTTATTGTTCGGTTGCATGGATGAGGATGGATGTAGGGGAATCCAGTGACTGGGACATGGGAAACACAATATGCCAATGTTGGTCAGAGCAGGGTTGATCAAGACTGAGATATTTGGATAACTCTGGAATGAATAGTCATGATACAGACCCTAGTGTTTCCCTCAGGATAATGGGTTCATAGAGTGTGACATGAAAATATTGTCTTATCTTAGATAATCCTGGATGTCAGGAGAATACATTAATATGAATATTGTTGTTTTATTTAGCCTATCCCCATTGACATTTCCCCCATAATGGTCTAGTGGGTCACTCCTGCCAAAATTGTGTCTGTTCCAAATTCCAGCAACAGGAAAGTCTTTGAACATGATTTTAAAGCAATACATATTGGAGCTGGCCAAACGACTGGACTCCTGTTGTGAAACATCATTAAAGAAAAACATGTTTTTATCACAGCGTATGGCTTCTTTAAACACATGCACTTCAACACCAACAATCCAGAGGTTAAAGACATCTGGTGGTGTGTAATGGATTGTGTGTGTGTGTGTGTGTGTGTGTGTGTGTGTGTGTGTGTGTAGCAGTTTATGCAGTAAGCAGGATGTCCTGTCCTCCCTGCTGCTATTGTGGAGTGGTCAGCCTGCCAGACGCTACCCCCAAAGACCACTTCCTCTCTGTCAAGTACCTCTCTCTGTTGAGCATACATGGACACACACACACACACACACACACACACACACACACACCCCACGCACACAGCCCCATGCCAGCCTGAACACAATGGGAACCTGTCCAACACCACACTATCACCTGGCTAAAAATAACCCTTTTGCAGCCTCAGACAAGAAGACTGTATTGTAACAATGGTGTCGCAGGACTTTGATCAGCCAAAAATATCATTGTGCTCATCACACATAGTGGTTAACAGTATCTTTAACTGGTGTGAGACTCTGAAGACGTCATCCCCATTTTGAACTGTATATACATGGTCTGATGCAAGACATTTGTTGGTACAAGGACAGTATCTCACCATGGGAAACTCAATTATTCCCTGGCAATTTAGCCTGGCATAAACAAGCACTTAATCTCAGTTGAAACTATGTGAATTTGTCAAAAAGAGTTCATGAACTTCAAGGTTAAAAAAATATTCAATCCTTTACTTAAAGTAGTAGTACACAGCGATTATCATTGTACATTTAATATTCTGGAAGTAGCATTTGAATATAACTGGTTGGGTTTATTGTGAGATGAGCGATTTGAGCAGGCTGAGGTAGCACGAGGGTAGCAGGGGAGCAAGCAGGCAGACAGGAATCCTGGAGGAGGGAGAACGGACAAGGATTAGTTCAGGTACAAGAATACAAGGAAAACATCAACCGCTGGGCCTGAGCGCAGCTACCACAGTGGTGAAGTTTAGATAATGACCTGTGGTTGACACGCCCGGGTAGAGATATAGCCTACCGCTGGGATGATTAACTGATTGCAGACAGGTGTGTAAGTGCATAGCCCGAGAGCCAGGAGGACCACGCCCACACACACACACACACACACACACACAGCTGCTGTTTTGTTGATTTTATGAATTGTAAATGTCATTATTACTTTTTTACTGTATGTAAAACCTGAATATGCAGAGAAACGAGTCATTACAGCTGTATAAAGTAAAATACTTAAAGCAAGTAACTCAAGTTGTTTCTTAAGTACTTGAGTAAAGTTACTTTCGACCACTGGTCACTGACACAACGGAAACGCCTGCTATCACATTAACACGCGATGTTACAGTGATGTAAATAAAAACAGCTAGGCCTATGTATATAATATTAAAGTGCGTTTCTGGGTCTAATAAACTGAGAGCTGTCCAGCTGATGACAGCAGCCTGCGTTTCTCCCCCCCGTCTGCCCTTGTGTCCTTCCCTCCTTCTCCACAATCCCCTATTCACACTCCCCTCCTCTCCCTACACTGCCCAGCCGAGGTACCCATTGTCTCGTTTCCTGTAGCCTGCGCGAGCAGCCCTCCACATAGCCCACACGCACACGCGCATGCACCCCTCGCGCACAGCGAGCAGGCGCGGTGGATGTGAAGCAGTCCCCCCACCTCCCCACACTCCAAGCGGACGGACGGACGGAGCGAGTCGTCGGGATTAATTGAGGAAACTCACACCCGCGGTGTTTTCGCCGTTGCTAACTCGCTTAAAAAGGGGCCCCGGGACTTCGCCGTGTTAGTCTGGTCCGGTGGGAAAACGTCGAGCCAAGCGGACCGAGCGGCACCGGAACATTGGAGGGAGAAAACAAGTAACAAGTGTGGAGTTTTTCTTTTGACAGCTGCGCTGCTGCCAGGCTGACAAACATCAGTGACCGGGAGGTGAGCTGTCATCCTTTCAGCTGCCTGTAAGTCCAGTCCGCTTTGTCTTCACTCAATAATGTATTTTTGTTGGGCGAAGTTGACCAAAAACACATTTCGTCTTCAGTTGTGGAAAAACTTATGAGTGGCTGCTCTCCACACAAGAGAAATAATTTAGCCACAAAATCCAATTATACCAGTTTAGAGCTGACAAAGGGCAGCTACAGCGGAATGACGAGGCTTTGAACTGTTGTGGTTGAAGTACACACACATCCTTCAATACAGGCTAATGCAATTTACCACACAGCCCCTTCAAGAACTGAACTTTTCTCTTGCTCAGAATTGAACATTAAAAGTCGAAATGAGAGGTTTAATGTGTATCACAACACCTTTTGTAGGCTCATGCAAATTCACCACGAACCATGCACCAGTAGTGGAAGAAGTACTTAAGTAAAAGTAACAATACCACAATATACAAAAAATACAAAATGTTTTCTTAAGTAAAAGCACACAGGTTTTAGCATCAACATATACTTAATGTACAAAATATAAAAGAACTCATTATGCAGCCTAATCTCAGCTACTTGATATACTGCTTGGTATGCTCATCCAAAGCAATAACATATAATTATGTATTAGTTCATCTATAATTTATAGAAGTTATCTGAACCCACTATGTATGTAGTCAAATTAATGTAGTGGAGTTACAAGTACAATATTGGCTTCCAAAATACATTGCAGTGAAAGTATAAAGCTGCTTGAAATGGAAATGCTCAAAGCACAAGTATCTCGAAATTGTACTTAAGTACAGTACTTCATAGTACACTCCACCTCTGAATAACAGTTGGCCTCTCAAGTATTAAGTGCTGATTGAATCTCAATCCAGTCAATACATGATTTTTCTCCACAGTCTCAACAAAAAAATCATTTTTGTGTGTGTGATAACTAACAGTTTCAGCATATTACAAACCTTATAAAGAAGTATTTGGAGGACTTCATATTCACGTATTCGTGATATTAGTGGAGTGTGATGCAACTGGAACAAGACCTTTCTGATTAAACACTGTGTGTGTAGCTCTATCAGCTCTACTGGCTGTAAGTGAAGATGTCCTCTCCAACACTGCTCGCCTGGTCGTCCTCCGCCTTCAACTCTCCCTCCTTGCCTCCTTCCTCCTCGCGTGTGAGAGAAAGGAACAGCTGGATGTGAGCTGAGCCTGAACTCGATCCGATCCGATCAGCGGGTCCCAGAGGCCTGTTTCTGCTGACTGCGGGGGATGGGGGGGGGAACCCTCTTAAATGTGCAGCTGTCTTTGACCTGTGCATGGAAATCCAGGTCTGACCCCCCCCTCCTCCCTCCCCCCAGTGGGACTCCTAGAAATCCATAACATGCGTTAAATGTGTAGGTGGTTCTTGTTTCCTGACACATGAACTGTATAACAGCCAAATGCAGTGTTCTATAGACTTGGCTCCCTGCAGAAACAACATCAGCTGAATTTGAAGCCGGCACTGTCAGAGGTCCTGGGACTAAGCCACAGTACACAGACGCCTACAGTGTGTGTGTGTGTGTGTGTGTGTGTGTGTGTGTGTGTGTGTGTGAGAGAGGACTGGCACATACGTGTTTGCCTGCTTGTGTATTCACGTGTGGAGACTTGTGTGTTTGGTCCAGACGGGTACAGTGAGGGTATTGTGAGGGGCCGGACCGGCCGAGGCTTTTTCTGAGGAGGCGTGTGAAAGCGCAGTAACGATGTCACTCTGCAGCTGGCACGGGACAGGTCTGATGGACCGCTCACACTCACTGTGTGTGTGTGTGTGTGTGTGTGTGTGTGTGTGTGTGTGTGTGTGTGTGTGTGTGTGTGTGTGGTGAGAAGAGCGATACGAGTGAATCTTTCCAGACACTCTGGATGTTTCTTTTTTGTAACACTCGACGCCAAAAGGCCAACCACCTCTCGGCTGCTCCGGCTCCGTTGCGTAACACAAGATAAGGCCAGTTTAAATCGGCTGCTGCGGAGATTTAGAACTGCACTCTGCATAAAGTTGGGAGGAGTTTGGGAGAGAGATTTTAGCCGGAGAAGATAAAAGAATGGTCAGAATCAATGCAGCAGAGGCCGAGATTGTCCCAAGTTTTTAGTCTATAATATTGGTCAACATCACCCAATGATGTAACCGGATAGAGTCTTTCACTAGACGCTCCCAGGCTGGTTAACAGGCAGCGCACTGACAATAACGGCATGCGACTGTGAGGTGGTTTGTTGTTGTGACTTGGCCACACAAACACTTTCCAACTCAGATTAATTGTTGTCGTATATATTGTGTGATTTTAGGGGCAGCAACTCTTTGGTCGTCAGTTCCACAATACAGTAAATGGATGTGGTGTGTTCATCAGTGGCGGGCCTGCATTTTCTACCTGGGCCTTCTGTGCCGTCTTACTACAGTTGAATAACCTAATAACCTCATTATGACGCCACAGCTACGTGTTATTATTTGATTCGTGTAAACACCTCATATTCACATAACACTGCAACATTTGACAAGTGAAATAAAATGTTACATGAAGCTCAACACCTACAAATACACTAACTACAGAGTGCAGATACATGAATATGCGCATGACGGGATGCTTCGTCATTAACGGACAATGCATATAGTAAAATCAATGTAATTAACACAATGACGAGAACAAACTCACAAGAACCAGTCACATTTATTTACAACAAAGCATGACAAATCAATCCTGCGGCACTAAAACACCGCACACTCAAGAGCACGGGCCATTCAAATAATATTTACATCAGAGGGAACGATATTAACTATATAATAAAAACAACACGATAGAGAAATTAATACAACGCTACTAAAGATGTAAAAACACAAAAGCAGTTCACTTACCAAATGCTTCTCACTATTTACAGACAAAGTCCATCCTCCTGTCTTTGATTATAAACAGTTCAATGACGCGGATGTTCAGAACATCCCTGCATTTCAGTTCCAGCAAGAGGTCCTTCTCGATTGCCATGGACGCTAGTGATGACAGCCGAGCCTCCCCAGTTGCGTTTCTGGAATAGGTTTTGATCCGTTTTAGGGCTGAAAATGTCGCTTGACAGAGGCAGTCGATATCGGGATCATCACCGCCAAACATGCCAGTGCGTAAAGTTGACACATGCTCTACAATCTACACCAAGCAAAACGCTAAAAATGTCATAACTTCTCTTACATATGTTTCAACCTGAACTCTTACTAAATACTAAGATCTGCTAGTTAGCTTTCTGTTTGACAAAAGTCACGCTGGCCCACTGACTAATCACGGAGCAAGTTAATGCAGACGTACTTAGCAGGCTACCTGGGTACCACTGGCACGTCAAAGAATACGCCCAACATGTCAAACTAAAGATCTGATTGGTTGAAGACTATGGCAATCAACAATATCGTCCCCATATACTCAAACTGCAAAGTCTACCTAGCGGGCATCGGGCCTCTCTTCTTACCTAGAGACACAGGGGCTGACTCTGATTGGATAAAAGCTCTCCTTAAAACAAGCTGCTGGAAGCAGAGCAACAGAGGAAGACAGGAGCTGTGCAATGAGAAAATTAGCTAATGGTAAAAATTATTATAATACATGTAGTGTATTTGTGAAAAATTATTAAATGATAAAATAGCTATAACTTTGTGATTCTGTTTAGGCCAGCAGAGAAGGCTTCGCTGGCCCTGACGGCCCACCACTGGTGTTCATACAACACGGCCCCGCTGTGATGGAGAAAACTCAACACAGTCCCAACAACCCGAGTCCTTGTTCTGACATCACTCGCCCGCACAAATATTTGCGCTTCGAGTAAATGACTAGAAAAAAAATGCATTTTCTTTCAATTGTTCATGTTTGACAACCGAACCATTGTGTGTCATGGCAACGCTGCTCTGCGATGGTGGGAGCTGCTTTTGTACCAAACCACCACCACACTGACTTGTTTACTTCCTCCAGTTGGAGCTCAGCCTTGTACACTTTGTGTACTTCTCTACTTCTTTACACTGGGCTCTTTAACACCGCGCTCATGAATGTTTTATTATTTACCTCTTTATTAATACTGACGGATCAAACTCAATGTTACAACACTGACAGATTGACTAAATACAAGTCATAAAAGTTGATTGTGAAGCATTTAAAATATATTTTCAAAATATACACATTCATCAAACATTTGTCAAAATGTATATTTTGTGTGTGTGGGGGGATTGCATGTTGGCCAGAAGTCTTATTAGAAAATATCCTACAACTCTGGCTCTTATATGGTAACAATCGTTAAAATCCGCACTGGTGTAACATGGAATAAATGTCTGCCTTCTATACACTTAAAAAAACTAAACGTACTGGAGGTCTTGGTATAGTCAGTGGCTAAAGGCGTACGGGTGTAACATACACTTGGTCTCGAGGAGAGCTGGAGTTGTTTGCATCTCCGTCTGTAGCGTTTATGGTGAGGAAGTGACCGAGAGTCTTTTCCTTCTCTCTCCACAGGATGACCGACCAGCCCTGCAGCTGCGCATCCTGACCGCCTCGGCCTCCGTTTGTGTGTCTGGACATCCACGATGACTTGGAGGAGACTTGACTGGTGGAGCCCCTGCTGACACCTCCGGTCCCCAGACATCCGCCCCAACCCCCCCCACCCCCTCCCCTTTCCTGACGGCTTTGGCGTACCCTCTTTCTGTGGAGCCCCCGCCGCCCTGTCGAAGCTGTCGCCATGGCCAGCCTGGTGCTCAACGAGACCGGAATGGAGGACTGCGGCATTGACGACTCCTTCAAGTACAACTTGTACTCGGTGGTCTACAGCGTGGTCTTCGTCTTGGGCCTGATCACCAACTGTGCCGCCCTCTTTGTGTTCTGCTTCCGGATGAAGATGCGCAATGAGACCACCATGTTTATGACTAATTTAGCGTTGTCCGACTTGGTGTTCGTTTTCACGCTGCCGTTCAAGGTCTTCTACAACGTCAACCGCCACTGGCCTTTCGGCGACGGACTGTGTAAGGTGTCGGGGACTGCCTTCATCACCAACATCTACGGCAGCATGCTCTTCCTCACCTGCATCAGCGTGGACCGCTTCCTGGCGATAGTCTACCCGTTCCGCTCGCGCTCCATCCGCACGCGCAGGAACGCGGCACTGGTGTGCGCCGCCGTGTGGCTGACCATCGTAGGGGGAGGAATATCGGTGACCTTCTTCTCCACCATTAACAACAAACACAGAGCCACCACGTGCTTCGAGGGCTTCTCCAAGAGCACCTGGAGGAACTACCTGTCCAAAATCACCATCTTCATCGAGGTGAGTGAGGACTCTGACAGTCGCACATATTAACATAGACACCATTCATACACCGTCTTTTATTAAGCTAACCAGAGACACAGCAGTGATGTTCCACTTTATCGTAAAGTTTTGCTGTGCTTCTTATTTAATTCCCAGATTGTGGGCTTCCTTCTCCCCCTCCTGGCCAACTTGGTATGCTCCTCGCTTGTTCTACGGACGCTGCGCCGTCCGATGACCGTTGGTCACGGCTGTAACAGCAAGAAACGTGTCCTACGGATGATTCTGGTCCACCTGGGCATCTTCATCATCTGCTTCGTCCCCTATAACTCCATCCTCTTCCTGTACGCCCTGGTGCGGACTCAGGCCCTGGCAAACTGTGGCGTGGAGCGCTTTGCCCGAACTCTTTACCCCATCACTCTGTGCCTGGCAAGCCTCAACTGCTGCCTGGACCCTGTGGTCTACTACTTCACCTCCGAGAGCTTCCAGAAGAGCTTGACCATGGGCGGCAAAGGGACGGGCTCCCGGCCCGAGAGTCTTCCCCGCAGCGACACCGAGACCCAGGACGCGGCGAACACTCTCCCCAGAGACACACACAACCCGGCCAGCAACGGAAAGGAGTCAAAGATGTCCGAGAGTCAGTTCTGACTCGGCACTGAAGAAGGAAGGTGAAGGAGGACAGTGTTGGTTTGATGGGAGCCCTGAATGTTAAACAACAAAGCAATCAGCTGTTTGTTCCTGGAAGTGACAAACACATAACTCAGCAGATTAGTTAAGTCCTGAGGTAAACCCTGAGGTATGGCCTGGGCTTTACGGATTACTCCACCACTGGAGAGCAGAGGAATGTATCTGTGTGTGTTTATTATGAGAGAACACTACGGGGATCAGACACCCAGCCACACTGGGACTATTGTCCAGAGACACGCAGAGCCTCTAAAAGAGACTGCAACACATCATCACTCAGGCTTAACACACACACACACACAAACACTCACAGATGCACTGGATCGTGGGTTTCCATCCGCATCGTTGGACTATGCTGTTAAGTGCTTTTGTAACAAGCTGAGCCCTTAAGTTGTATTGTTATAAAGTCCAAGCTTTCACAGCACATTATATCACGTTAGACCTTAATGTTATGACACTCGTTAGTGTGGTGATACCCACTGCTATTATAACACAGGAGTAAAATGTGTCTCGTGTTGACATTTGAGGCCATTAAATGTTTCAAATTGCTATCGTTGCTGCATTTATTCCCCCCCCCGCCTCATTCCCGTTGGTTCGGTCTAACTAATCTGATCTGGTCTTCGTCAGCATGTCGGTATGTTTGAACTCATGAGGGAGTTTTTCTGCTCTTCAATTTCCATCAAGCAGCCGGAGCGATCTCGCTGTTGGAGCAAAGGGCAGCTCCGATCCAGTCGAGGACCTTGGCCCGTGTGCCGTGTCACAGGCCAACCGCTTATAATGACTGGAGCAACGGTCCATTGTTTGCTTCTGAATGAGGTCTCTCTGTCTTAATCTGGCCTTACACTGCAGATCGGCTCAAAGTCTCTTATGCACAGCAAAGCACGGGTGAACACTGTTGATCAAATACCCAAAATCATCGTGTTACACTGCACGTAAAGCAAAAAACAGTGATGTCAGCAGATCCAGTTGTGGTGCGTTTGGTGAATACTTTTATGCAAAAGGCAGACATGCCATCACGCAGGATGTAACTATTGACAGTAAGAAAGCTAGCTTGGAGAGCTTTTGTTCCATCTTAACTCTAAAAACTAAAACGGCACAGTAGAAAGAAAGTAAAAAATGATCCACAGTGAGATACTGTCAGTGTGGTGGGCCAGGATGTTCCCGGCTCGATTGTGTGTTTGTCATTGAGCTACTGCTAGGACCTGCAGCTGGGTCGTCTATATGTTTCTTTGTGCATACAACGGGATCCTGCTGGAGAGGGGGACACTTTTCTGTCTGGGACATTATGCAAGACGTTAGCACAAGTTGCTTATTCATTCTCTCATGGAGCCATGCAGAGTTAGGGATTCATGGCCTTACTTGGGAATGTCTTACGTCTCTATAGCTGCAGCAGCAGTACGTACAGAGTATGTGAGCGACACAGAGAGAGAGAGAAAAGATGTAGTAATTCTAGAGGGCCTCTCTGATCGTGCGAGTGGTGTGACCATGTGCATCCAGTGGTGGAGGGACAACAGAGGCTGGACTCGTCTGGGATTTGGGTCAAGGGTAGCAGAGAGGGGAGGACGAGTGGGGAGAAGTGGCGTAGGGCAGGAAATAAGAAGTGGGAGTGTAGAAAAATATACAAGAACCGTCCTTTGAACCCCCTGAGCGGTTCATGTCAAGAATGTGCCGGAATATTGCAGCAGAAGAAGCTCAACATGTCCTTTAATGGAGCAATCCGCCCTCCTGATTGTAGGAGAACAAAAAACATGCATATTCAGTTTACTGAGAGTATTGGCCTGCTCTGACCTCTAGTGGCCACAAGTCCCAACAAACATTTGAGTGAAAACACCAGCATGGAGTCCAGCATGCCTTGCTCAACGTGTGTGTGTGTGTGTGTGTGTGTGTGTGAGTGAAACCACAGTGCAGTGGCACGCAGGTGGCTCAGAAAATCGTCAGACGGTTATTTTCTCTGGGTGTGACACTAACAGGATGGATTAAACCGCTGCCATGTAGTTGATCTGTGGTTTTGCATTCTGAAGATGTACTTTTTCTCGATGCCACACGACTGAAAACAAGAGGGCACGTAGCCACTCCTCGCTGTCGGCAACTTGAGACATAATAAAATCAAACCTTTTGCAGAAAACCATAATACAAAGTGTGACATCTACACACGCTCGCCTTTTTTATAAAATTATGCAGCGATAAACAGCTTTGAAAAAGGAAGTGTGGCATCTGATAGGGGAAGTGGATGATTACATTTGTATCTCCAAACGTTGAAAGATGCAAATTGACTTTGCGAAACAGCATCGTAGTGTAGAAACAAAGGGCGTGTGCTCACACTCTGCTGCATCTACTGACCAGTTTCAGAATGTCAAGAGGTAAGAGGAACTAACACCTTCATCTCCGTCTGTCGGTCTGTCTTTTCGATCAATATTTTCTACCTGTGTGTGTGTGTGTGTGTGTGTGTGCTGTCATTTTGCTTTCTAAACCACACACTCACCTGCTCTCTGCGCCCCACACTGTGTTAAGTTTCTGAGTTGGTTGCTATAGGAGCTCAGTCACATCACAAACTGTAGAAAAACACTTGCGAGGGCCGTGCTTCCCCTTCCCGTCGTCAGCATAAGAAACAGCCCACACCGGACGCCACCAGCCCGTGCAGACATTCAAACAGAACCCACAATCCACGTGCACACGCTGACAGGTCTCTGCCACTCGAGTGGGACAGAGGAGGTTTGCTGTTGACCCCGTTTTTGCGCTGCACAGCTGGAGGAGTGTTTGTGCGTCAGTCTGCTGTGGAGCTGCAGGAGCATGTGGTCGCTGGTGGTCACTCCGGGCTCTGACCTCGCCCCTCCATCCACGCTGATCGTTTAGGGGGAGACGAACCAGGTAATTGCACAGTTTGTCGGGTTAGGGAGATCGTATCTGTGAGGCGGTCACGCTGCTGTACTTTGTGTGAACATTTGTGATCAAAGTCATGCTTCACATTTTGCTGATGACAGGGGGATCTGTTATGAAATCCTCTTTCACTTAGCATGAAAATGTATCAGTATGTACACGTTACGAATGTCATGTTACGGGCATTGTTGAAATCAAATTAGGTTGTTGTCATGCAGGCAAAATTCGATCACTGCTGCACTATTTGATTATTGGAAACGTCATCGGGGTTTTGATTTTAAGACTGAAATGTAAGAGTTTGAGAACCGGATCAAATGGGTTTTGATATTGTCAAAAATGTCCTTTACACAAGAGCACTGAGAAAATGCAAGTCGCCAGTGTATTCTCTCAAGTTACCATCAACCTGCGGACCATTTCCCTAAATTCAAGTCTGACAACATTGTGCAACTCTTCACTGCACAGGTTAACGCGAGGGGATCCGTGTGCTGACTGTGGCAGACCGATCGGCCCCAAACTGCCGATGTGAGTCAGTGAGTCAAAACTGGTGAAATTTACAGTAAAGCAGCAAAAGCGTCTCTCTCTTCCCCCTCTGGGGCCGCCGGAGGAACGGTGGGGTCTCGCCTTGATGGCAGAAGGAAGGGCGATGCTTGAGTGATAAGCAGACTAAATGCTGTCTTTCTTCCACATGTTACCTGCTGCAATCTTTGACCAGACAGAGACTCCTCTGATTTCATTTGGGCATCCAGCAAAAGAAAACATGTTCACACCTAAAGAAAGCCGTAAAATCACCGGAAAATAGGGCAGCAATTTAGCGAGTAAGCTACCGGCTACTGTATCAAAAGAATACAGCAATTTACTGTAATCAAAGTATACAGTCATTTTCTGTAATATTTTACAGTCAGCAATATACTGTACAAAAAGGATCAGATGCCCTGCAGCCTTTTTCCAGAAGGTAAGTGGTCCAACAGTCAAATGGAAGTCTTCTCTGATGAATGAAGGAGCAAGCTAATAAAAAAAAAAAGGTTTTGTGCTATAGGAGCACACACATATAGTGGATATATGACCGCTAGCCAAAGATGAGACTGAAAGAAATTAGGAACAGCGGTTGGCAAAAAATGGACATTTGAACATCATGTAATTCCATGACAACTGGACAAACTTCCAGAACAGCTACTGATTTGAGACATTTTCTTCACAACCTGGCAACCCAAGTGCTGTCCTGAATAATAGCTTATAACAGATCTATACAGCCTTATTAAATCATGTTGAAGGGCCATTAGTTATGACTTATGAAGTCCTAATATAGGGTCTCTTATCAAGAAACGGTACCAATAAATTGGGACTTCCTCTAAATGCGATGTTAGCCATCAGTTGCATTAACTGTAAGCTCTCCTTTCACCATTGCAGGTGTTCAGTGTGTGAGCGACGAGATGAAGGATTGATCGGGTGTTGTCGAGTTATACGGAAATGACTCTGAACGCGTCCGGAGCGTGGGGGGAGTCCCTGGTCAACTCGTCCTCACGGTGTGGACACAGCATGATCAGCTGGGAGCAGCGCATGGACAAGATGTACACCTACTTCTACCTGCTGCTCTTCATCCCCGGGCTGCTGCTCAACACCACCGCTCTCTGGGTCCTCTGCAGACACATTAGGTACACACACGCAC